AAGGGTATTCCTATAGATGAAAAGCAAGTTTCAAGCATAATTTTTTTACATGGGGTTGCTATTTTTTCATCAACATCCTCACCGTCCTTATATTTGGAACAAAGTGTGAAGGTTATGAAGATTCGAGATATAGATTCTCCCATTGTGATATCCTATAGTATGTCATAGAAGGAAACTATACTTTATGCGATCAAGTTTGAAGATGTGTTTCACCGTCTAATGCCAATTCTTTTGGAGTATTCGTGCTACAACAACTCTTCGGACAAGAGTTTTTTCAGCGGAAAAAATTGATGGAGATCAAAAAGGGATTGGATGAACTTAATTGAAAAATTAAATTTTATTATTTGTTTTAGTATTATTTTATTAGTTAAAGAATATTTTGTTTGACTAGGAGTATTAATTAGAGTTTGACTAGGAAATTATTATAGAGTTTTAGTAGGATAAAATTTGAGAGTTTTGATTATGAAACTCTTTTTAGTATTTTAGTAGAAAAGTGGTTTTTTATTTAGTAGGGAACTTGTCTATAAATAAAGGTGTAATCCCAATTTTTTTATTAGAGAAATTATGAATAAGAATTGAGTATTCTCTACGAAAATTTGTGTGTTTTTCACTGATTCCTTGGGAGGATGAGGTAAACCCCTTCCACCCCCTCTTCTTTCTTCTTTTTTTCTATTCTGTGAATTCTAGACCTTCCCGATCTACATCACATAGCTATCCCCCTAGTGGAAAATCCTTGCAAAAATTGAGTTTACAAGGTTTTACCCTATCAAGCAGATTGCATTGATGAAGTTCCAGTAAACCTATTTCACGCATATGGTCAAGGCATGAATGTCAAAGAATAGTGTCATCAATACCTGAACCCAATAGAGTAGTTACAGCTGCTCCACCAATAATAGTATTCCTTCCAAGTACCAATTTCCTTTTCGTTGTCCGGTCATGACAACCATGACCCTTGATAACTTTTAGGATCACATCCATTGCTGTGAAGGAAACCATTTATACAAGTGTACCAAAGAAAATTAAATTCTTTTTAAGATCAGGGACATGTCTCGTATAACTAGTGTTCTCACGATACCATCAAACAATTTAATTTTAATGTAACAATTCCAATGGTCTTGCAAGTTAAATCATTACCCATTAGAATTGTTCCTCCATTATAGGCTTTATAACTATCAAACAATTCTTATATGAACACACGTGATAAGAACATCCGAAATCCAATATCCATTAACAAGATAATTCATCCTTGTGTTGACCAAGAATAAATCACTGTTTCCATTCCACCATTTGGGATACTCAAACTTGAAAATTTTGAAATGCTCATACTTGAAAAATCTGAAGCCTAGTTATAGGCATGAACCCAATGACATGATGGTATTAAGAATGTTTTTCTATGCAAATTTAAACCTAACAAATTTTAACGATTCCTTCAGATTTGAAAAAGTGTTCTTCACGTGTCCTTTGCCGCAACACCTCCATACAAAATTTCTTTACCAATTTTGGCACCAAAGCGATGGCCAACAAAATTTTACCAGCCATTGACTTTCTGAGCCACCGTCCTTCAACAAATCTCTACCTTGGTAAGAATTTAAAACTATCCACCTAAAGCCTTAGGTCCACATCTTCAAGTATGCTCATCCCCAAGCCCTAGGATGCCCCATTAATCTTACACCGCGAAAGATCAATCAAGCCAAGCAATGCTTGAACTATTTATCAGTAGCCGACTTTGTCAATATTTCAGCTGCATTTTTCTTTGTATGAACTTTCATCAAATTTACATTTTTCTCTTCCATACGCTCTTTGAGAGCGTGATACCTCGCGTTGATATATTTTATCCTGCCATGGTAAACTTGATTCCTCACCAAATGAATAGCACTTGGGTTGTCGCAATACAACTCTTAAGCTTTCCTACTTCAATCCCAGTTCTTTGACTAAACCTATCAACCACAAAGACTCCTTGGCAACTTCCATCGTTTTCATATATTCGGATTCCGTTGTGGATTAAGCAGGAGTTAATTAAAACATAACTTTCTAACGGATAGGTTCACCTACAAGTGTAAATATCTACCAGGTAGTAAACTCCATTTGTCTAAGATCACCTGCATAATCTGAATCAACATAAACCACAACCTGTCACGTTGCATCTTGTTTTTGATACAATATACCAAATTCCACTATACCTCTCAAGTACCTGAATATCTATTTAATTACATTCCAATGCTCCTTGTGTGGATTATCTATGTACTTACTTCCAACACTAACTGCATGTGAGGTGTCTGACCTACTGCAAAGTGCAAACTATAACATACATTAGACTTTCCACTGCACTAGCATATGACACAAATGACATTTCCTCCAACTCATCATCTGTAGAAGGACATGATCTAGTAGATAATTTAAAGTGGTTAGCTAGATTACCAACTGATTTAGAATTACTCATGTTAAACCTCTTTAACATGTTCTTCCCCTATTTCTTTTGTAATACCCACAGTTTGCATTTTTCCCTATCCCTCCAATTTTTCATTTCATTGATCTTTTAGCAATGCCTAGATCTTTCATATCAAATTTATTTACTAATTTGGACTTTAACGAACTCAACTCATGCATGTTATTTGAAGCAATAACATGTCGTGAACATAAAACATTAGAATAACAAAAAAACCATTTCTAAGCATTTAAAATAAACACAGCTATCATAGTTGTTCCTCATGTAGCCTACACAAACCATAAAGGAATCAAACCTCCTATACCTTCAAGGAATCAAACTTGCAAGAAAAATGAATACTTTAAATGGCTAATAACCAAACACCTACCTGTAGTCCGTGAAATTTTTACCCTCAAGAAGAGAGATTGAGACGATATTAGACTAATTAATTTTCCAGCCAAACAAACACGTTAGATATTTCCTATGTGCTTCAATCACCATGAAATTGTAGGGTCATTTTACATATTCAATAATGTATTAAGGGTTTTTCTCAAACCTTATGTGTGTCGCCACCTCCCTCTAACCCCACCCCCTCCTCTCCCCTTTTCCCCTTAAGTCCAAAATACACTAAACTAACAAAATATGTTGCCAATTTTGGCCATTTAAAGTACAAAATGTCAACCACCTATTCATTCATACAAAAATGTAATATCTGGATTAACTTCACCACAACTAATCAAAAGCTTGTTGCTGATCAAAAACTCATCTCAAAAACAGATACAAAGCAAATTCTATTAAAAGAAAAAAGGCCAAGGAGTGATATGGCACAAATTGGTGGAGGATGTGGCTCCACCAATGACATTTGCCAAGATCCACTCAATTTATACCTTTCTTCTCACACTCATGCAACTCATCCCACACTTATTGCCACCACGGCTCCACCTGCTTTAATATGTCTACATCAAGATAGTTTAGTATAGCAAAATACCTTAAATTATGAATTACATAATTTGACCCACTCTAATGGTTTACACTTAGAAGCATAAGAGCATCATAGCCCAGCTATTAAGAAAGATGTTATGTTCTGAAACAACCCTATATAAAATTACAAAAAAAGACCTAAGACTGGTAATCAAGCAAAGCTCATAAGTTAAGTGAACATCCAACTGCCAAAGACACATCTTGATATTGCTAATCCACCGGATACAAGTCTTTCTTTACAACAGAAACAAGTTCTCTTCAAGCCAATTCATAATCCTAAAAGCAAACTGAACTTCTAAAAAATCCAAGATGTATGTACAGAAAAAACGTTCAGCTCAGACTTCATCCTCTCGTAGGTCCAAACAACTCCCTTCTATATTGTCCATCCTCCCATTAAGCCACAGATTTCCTACTTTTACTTGCATAAATCCATGAGGCAACACTTCTATATGTTTGATAAACTAACACTAAATTAAATGGTTTCAAGAATTCTATTCCATGTGTCCCAAAATTAAGCACTATAATGTCAAAGTTCATCTGTAGATATGGATCACTCAAAAACTAGACAGAGTCTCTTAGAACTACGAAAAAATACACACAAATACTGACCCTGGTAAGCCTCATTAATTTCTTGGAATCTTGAAGTGGCACTGTCCTGATCTTTTTGCTTATCCGGATGCCATTTCTGCGCAAACCAAGCCAATAAAACAAGAAAAAGGGGGAGGGGGACAGAAGCGACTTCTCAGCTCAGAATCCAATGTCATACTTCAAAGATAAATCGAAAAATAAACTCTTTAAATGAGTGGGATAGCTTCATAGAAAGTTATGCATTCCTCGGATAAGAAGTAAATTTTACCAATCAAGCAGAAATTTATGCATTGGTGTTATTTGTGTCAGAGGAAAAACCAAAAATTAATACGGAATTGGTAAAGCAAATTCGAACCAGAGCAAGACGAATATAGTTTGATCGAATAGCTTCCTCTGTAGCATCATAATCCACTTCCAATATCCGATAATAATCCTACAAAGGCGATAATAGACAAAATCAACAGCTTGAATAAAATCTTATTATCCAAAAAAAATTACCAAAAAATCAAAGGAAAAATAAAACCCTAAATGCAAAAAAGCGCAGGAAGTGAAAATGAACGACAAAATGTTAGCAAACCTTGGGCTTAGATGCAACGGACAAGAACTCGAAGTTGACATCAGAATCTTCTTGGTGGTTGTGGTCTGTTGCACCGCTCTGCTCTTGAAGATAGTCGTCCCATTCGTCCCACACCATGTTCAACGCTGGGACTTACAGGTACGGGGTGTGCAAAAAATATGCTGTAAATATGGAGTTTTTCACAGAGAGAGAGAGAGAGAGACGGGCAGATAATTTCCTTGAGTTTGTGCTTCGTGTACTATGGAGCCAACATTCTCACAATTGGAAACATTCTGCCTTGCAGATAACATTTCCCCCACAAAAATAAAATGTAAAAAATAAAATTTTACAATTTTATAAAAAAAGAAGAAGATGATTTTATGTAGTTTGGGAAATGGTCGTACAATCTTTAACTTCACTCAAAAAGTTTCTACATGGCCCACCTCTCCTGAATTTAACTCCAGAAGAGGAGATTTTATGCGTAGGCCCAAATTGACTACCGGTCATGAGTTTAAATGGGTTCGGTCGGCAGGGGTTGTTTGTTTTAAAAAAAAAAATTAATTAATTTGATACAAAATATTATTGAGCATCTTTAACTTTAATTCAAATTTAGACTCAAATTTAAATTTGAGTAAAAAGTAATAAAAGATTTGTTCCAACCTTTTACTCAAACTTATACCAAGTCAAGGACACTTATTTTTTTACTCAAATCTTTAATGGTAAAATTTAAACATCTTTTAAAGATTTAATGGTCATCTGTATTCTCTTTTAAATTTGGGTTTGTCCTCATTTAAATTTGAATTTGCTTATTGGAGCCCTTTTGTATTAAATCGAACTTTTTACTTAAATTTAAACTCAAACTTGAGTAAAAAATTGAGTCATAGTTACAGATACTCTTACCACCCTTATTTTTTTAGCAACATGTTCAAACTTAGTTCAAGCGGTCGTGCCCAACTGTTGAGTTCGATGGAATAATCGATGTAATTTTAAACGCCCTGTACCAAGAAAAAAGTGAATAATATTATTACTTTTTGTCTTCAAAGATGATAACATATAAGTATTGAATATTTAAGTAAACATTTGAGTCTCCCTTAATTTAAATAAATATTTAAGTCTTTATAATTTAGTATGACTTTTAATAAAAGTTTGAGACTTGTTTTTTAATCTGTTTTTATTGAAATTTATATTTGAGTCAAGATTTAAGTAAAATTTAGAAATACACTCTAAGTTAAGCATGTTTAATTTGTGACATATTTGTCTAGTATTTGTGTCACGGTGATATTAAAACAACATTAAAAATACTAAATCTAAAAAATTAAGAAAATACAAAAATATAAATTTGTATATAATAAAACAACTAAATATTTGAAAATTTATCTCATACATACATTCTCTCCTAAAGTCATCTCATCATCTATTTCTATCACATGTTTAAATATTTAATATTTAATTAATTTTTAATTTAACATAATTTTTATTTTAGATATTATTCATACACGATAGTATATATATGTTGAAAAATTTTATTGAATTACGTATTTTTATCAATATTTTTAAAAAAATATTGATAAAAATAAAATTTAAATGATATAATCAAAAAAATGAATGAAAAAAAATTATTATTTAATAAAATAGGATCAATTTTTTTGATGTTTAAATTTTATGTTTCATCGTACCTTCAGATACAAATTATGACTAGTTATTTAACAGATAATTTGTGTCTAATTATAATTAAATTATTAATTACTAATATTAATTAATTGTATTATTAAATAATAGTCAGACTTATATTGTAATAGTCACTAATATGAATTGACCGTAACCTACCACACATTTTTTTTTTCAACTTGCAGAGATATTCAAGTCACTTTATACGTATCTCGATTAATTTTTTCTCTGGTCTAGTTAAAGGCAAATCATTCACATCAAAACTAAAATATTTATGAAAAATAAACCCTCCGATCTAACCTAATAAATTACCAAAATTTAAATTCAAAACGTGTGAATTTACATGTTATCCGCCTTCACCACACATACTTGCTCAACAAACTCTGGGTTTTCTTGTGTAAAGTGCTATGATTTCCCTCGAATGGCCCAGATTTGATCGAAAACACAAAATTCAATAGTGGAAGGTTTTTCTTGATCAGTAGAGGAAGTTAAAAAATAAGAAATGACTAATGAGAGGTCCGACTGACTTAGCTTTCGTTTATTCCATTTTTTAATTTTGTCTTCCTGACATTAAAATATGGGAGAATTATATTTAGATCCTCTAAAATTTAAAATAGTATACCTAACCTCTCTAAGTTTTGTACGCACTAAATACTTAGGCCCCTATCATCAATGTCCGTTAATATATCTATTACTAAATTACAGCTAAAATCCCCGGAGGTCCCAATAGCTTGCTTGCTAAGATACGAACTAGTGTTGATAAATAAGACCTCTCAAAAGTTAGACAAAAAATGTTTCAATCAAAGATAGAATATCAAATATTTTAAATTTTACAATCAAAATTTATGTTATATTATGATATTTATTGAAATAAAATCAAAAAAAAAAAAAATTAAAAAAAAAATCATAATTAGTATACAATTATACTATTTATTATAATTTATTTTAGTCAGTTAAATGATCAAATTAAACTATCAAATTATTTCAATTAAAGCTAAAAAATATTGTATCTATTACAGTTTGACCTCTTGTTCAATTTTTTAGCTTTATTCCAATAAATAACATAATTGTATACTAATTATGATTTTTTAAGAAAAAATTTATTTTTTTATTTTTTAAATAGAACATAAATTTTTATTATAAAATTTAAAATATTTGTTATTCTATATTTGATTATAATATTTTTTTGTCTAAATGTAATATTTCAAACTTTAGAGGTTTAACTTACAAACTTTAGGGAGTCTGCATGTAATTTATTAATAAATATTTTAACAGATATTAACCGCAGGAATCTAAATGTTACGCTATAAATTTCAAGGGATTTGTATGTAATATTTTAAATATTAGGACTTTAAGTGATTAATTGACAAACCTCAAAGGAACTGGGTATAATTCTCTCTTAAAATATCAATTCGAATTATCTATATAATAAAGTAGCTTACAATTCAAATTTCAAAAGATAAACAAAATGACTTTTGCTATTCGCGGTTGAGATTGCTTTAAATTTTACTTTAAAGTTAATCTAACGACTAATATTAACACTTTAAATTTAATATGAATAATAGGGGTCTAAGGGTGTGTTTGAAATGATTTTTTAAAAATACTTTTAAAAATTATTTTCATAAATACTTTTAAAAAAATAGTGTTTAAAACCGCTTCACCACTATCTCTACCACCACCACCACTATCGCCGTCGCCACCGCCACCACCCTTGCCGTCGTTGTTGCTGTCACCGCCACCCCTGCCTCCACCATCACCACCACTCCCACTACCCCCACCATAACCGTCGTCGCTGTCGCCTACAACAATTGCTATCGCCGCCACCACCTCCACCATCGTCGTCACCGTCGCCCTCGCCACCACTATCGCCACTTACCATCTCCTACCACCATCACTATCGTCCATCACATCTCACCCCTACTATAAATCGATGCTTAAATTTATTTATCTCCTCTCTATATATGTAATTTAATTTTAGATATGAATACAAATATGTTTATTATTTACTATTTTTTATTACTCTGTACCTTCAAGTACATATAATAATTAGTTTAACATACGCAAGGTGCTTACACCATAGGTGGCCACCAATCGGCCCCTGCTTGAGGCCTAGAATATCAAGCCCAATCCACATGGAGCTTTTGAACCAATCTTCCCTTAAAAAATTGACTCTCATGCCAGATTTGGATGTCCTTGGGCTGGTGAAGCCCATATCATAACACAATAATGAAAAAATGTTTTTTTTTTTTTAGCGTGGGTACATTTTTTTAGACTTATTTGAGAGGAAGTATATAAATAAATATTTTACTCTATTAACTTCAATTTTAATAAAATATCTTGTAATTAGGTATAAAATTCAAATGACATTTAAATTTTTTTACTTACTTACCCTTCCTTAAATTATGTATAATTTTTATTCTTTTACTCTCTCTAACTCCTACCATTTCTCACACCATTACTCTCTCTCCCTCCTTCCCTCTCTCTTTATTACTCTCTCCTATTTTCTCTCTATCTCTCCCCTATTCTCTCTCTCCATCCCATTGATAATTTATTTTATTTTCAAGTAGATTTGATTTGATTTTTCATATCTCTCCCCTATTTTTTTTTTCTCTCTCTCACTGTCTCCCCCTATTTTTTTTCATCATTACTCTCTCTCCTTATTCTCTCTCTTTATATCAACGTTACAACAACGCAGTTATACTAATCAATTATAATTATCATGTAATACACCAAATAATTTCACAAAATTATGACATCAACCCAATTTATTATTCATTTGTTTACATAAACCAAATAGTTACATCATTTAGTATCATGATATGATTACTGAATTTGGTATAATAGTACACTTTTGTATAATGATAAACCCAATTTGGTGTATATAATTGATATAATCATAACATAATATTAAATGATGTATCTCTTTTGTTTATATAAACAACTGAATAACAAATTGATTGTAATTTCGTGTAATTGTTTAATTTATTATAACAAATGAATAATTGTTTGGTGTATTTTAAGGTAATTGTAATGAATTGACGTAATTGTATTGTTGTAATGTTGATATAAGGAAAGAAAAGAGTAACAATGAGACAAAATAAAGGGAGATGGAGTAAACGAGAGAAAATAGGAGAGAGATAGATGAAAAAATCAAATCAAATCAAATCAAATTCTTTTATATTTGAAAAGAAAATAAATTATCAATAGGAGAGAGAGAATAAAGATAGATAGAGAGAAAATAAGGAAGATAGTGTGAGAGAATAATGGAGAGAAAAGGGGAAAGAGATAGATAATAATGGAGTAATGAATAATCTTTTAGTCTTTTTCTAAAAAAAATGCATTTATGGTCAAATAAGTTTTTTTAATGTAGTTTAGCTCAATTAAATTCAAATTTTTGTACCGACTTCTAAATTTTTCATGAAAAAATATTCAGATAACCGATTTAAAAAATATTGAGCCAAGATTGAGTT